ATTCACGGGTTTAAAAACTATTTTTTTTAATATATATATATTTTAGTATATTTGACATTTTAAATAAATATATTTTTTTTTAAATAAAATATTAAAATAAAATAAAAATTATCATATTGAAATTTAACTTTATCTTCGAAATCTACTAATTCAAAACTTACACAACTTTCAAGAGATACATTTGAGAGTCTAATTCAAAAACTACTAAGTTGAAGATTAAATTTGTCTAAGATTTAGATTAAATATTTAAACCTAATCTTAAAGACAGTATAATTATTCTCATATGTAATCGAGTTAACTCATGAACCTAACGAGTCGAACTATGTAGAGTTCAAGTTCAGCTCATTTAGTTAACGAACTTAATTTTTCGCTCATACTCAACTCATTAGGTTCATGAACCTAGTTCAACGATCTAATTGTCGAATCGAATTTCGAACTATTTTCGAGTTGGTTCGGTTCATTGCCAGCCCTATGCATCACATACTCCTAGCTTCTTTCTAAGTCCCTGGAAGATTCTTGTGTCGAGTGGCTTAGTAAATATATCTGCAACCTGCTGATGCGTGCTACAAAATTTTAATTGAACAGCTCCTTCATTCACCAGCTCACGTAGGAAGTGAAACCTTACATCGATGTGTTTGCTTTTGTCGTGCATCACCGGATTTTTTGATAGCTTGATTGTTGAGTTGTTATCACAAAAAATAACAGGGTTGCTGCTTCCTTCATAGCCAATTTTGCCCAACACTCTTTTCATCCATATTAACTGACAAGAGCAAGCTGCTGCTGCCACAAATTCTGCTTCGGTTGTACTTAGAGTAACAATTGGTTGTTTCTTGGAGGAACATGCCACTGTTGCATCACTGAGAATGAAGGTATACCCGGATGTACTTTTTCTGTCCTCCATACATCCAGCGTAATCACTGTCGGTGAATCCTACTAGCTCTCTGTTTCCTTCTTTCCTGTAAAAGAGCCCATATTCAATAGTCCCTTGCAAATACCTTAAAATTCTTTTGGCTGCTGCAAAGTGAAGTTCAGTTGGCATAGACATGTATCGGCTAATCAGACTAACAACATACATTACATTTGGCCGAGTGGCTGTCACATACATCATACTTCCCACAAGCTGCTTATAGAGTGTGATATTTATCTTGACACCTTCTTCATCTTTGTGAATCTTAAACCCCGGGACAATAGGATTTAAGACAGAGTTGCTTTCCTCCATTCTGAATTTTGTTAGTAACTCTTTCACATACTTTCTTTGACACGTGAAAATTCCATTATCAAGCTGCAACACCTCAATTCCCAGGAAGTATTTCATTCTTCCCAAATCAGTCATTTCAAACTCTTTCATCATGGATTCTTTAAACTCATTCATCATAGTTTGATCATTACCAGTGTAGATCAAATCATCAACATACAAGTTAATAATTAGGCATTTACCTTGTGTGTTGAATTTTGTGAAGAGTGTTTGCTCGCTGACATCCTTTACAAATCCCATCTTCTGAAAGTAAGTATCTATCCTGCTGAACCATGCACGTGATGCCTGCTTCAATCCATATAGGGCCTTACGAAGCTTGTACACTTTTCTTTCAGCACCCTTGATTTTATACCCTCTTGGCTGGTCTACGTACACTTCTTCGGAGAGTTCTCCTTGCAAGAAAGCTGACTTTACATCTAGCTGATAGATTATCCAACTTTTCTGAGCTGCCAATGCTAAAATCATCCTCACGGTATCCATCCGAGCGACTGGTGCATATACTTCCTCATAATCAACTCCGTGTTCTTGTGCATATCCTTTTGCAACTAGCCGAGCTTTGTACTTTTCAACTTCTCCATATTGATTCAATTTAGTCTTATAAACCCATTTTACTCCTATACTTTTGGCTCCCTCCGGTAGATTAGTGAGAAACCATGTTTCATTCTTCTTAATGGATTGAATTTCTGAATTCATAGCATTTCTCCATTCTTGGCTCTTAGCAGCTTCTTCATAGCTAATAGGATCACATTCTATGAATAAGGCTAAATGTGAGGTGTGATCTTGACTTGCTTCAGTAGTTTCAGCTTCATCATTGACGTTATAGTCTGTCATCCACACTGGTCTCCTTCTGATACGACCTATCCTTCTGACACGATCTCCTTCCCTTGTATTTGTGGCTTCAGGAAATGACGTAGTCGCTGCCATAGTGTTTTCTCTATCACTTCCCTCTTCATTTATGCTTGCTTTATCTTCTTCAGTGACAGTTTCTATAATAACATCAGAATCTTTATTGGTAACATCTTGAGTCTCAATTTCTCCTTCATTTATGTCATCTCCCCAGTCTAGATCAAGGCTTATCAAGCTGTCATAACTCTTATCCCAGCTCCACTTTTTCTCTTCTTCAAACACAACATCCTGACTAACAATGACTTTCTTGCTTATGGGATCGAATAGTCTGTAGCCTTTTGATTCTGAACTAACCCCAAACAGTACACAACTTCTGCTCTTATTCTCTAGTTTAGTGCGTTTGACGTCAGGCACATGTACATGTCATATACAACCAAACACCCTAAAATGTTCTACAGATGGCTTTATCCCACTCCAAGCTTCCATTGGTGTCATGTCCTTCACAGAAGAAGTTGGACTTCTGTTAAACACGTAGAACGCCCAACTCGCAGCTTCAGGCCAAAAACTCTTAGGAATATCAACCATCATACTTCTTACCATGTTCATCACTGTTCTGTTCTTCCTCTCGGCTACTCCGTTTTGTTGCGGCGTGTAAGCTGTGGTTAGTTGTCTCTTGATTCCATTATCTTTACAATAATCATTGAAATCACTTGATGTAAATTCTCCTCCCCCATCTGTTCTTAAGCAGTTAATAGACAGACTAGACTCTTTTTCAACACTACTCTTAAATTGCTTAAAGGCAGCAAATGCATCAGCTTTATAAGCAAGGAAATAGACCCATGCTTTCCTACTAAAGTCATCAATGAAACAAAGCAAATACCTCTTTTGGCCATTTGAAGCTGGTGAGACGGGTCCGCAGATGTCAGCATGGATTAATTCCAACTTAGTTGAAGCACGCCATATGCTTTTTTTTTTGGAATATTTTCTCTATGTTGTTTTCCTTTCAGACAATCTGTGCAAATGGAATCAGGTCCGAGAAGACACGACATCCCTTTCACCATCTCTTTGTCCTTCAACATGCACAATCCTGTGTAACCGAGATGGCCAAACCTCCGATGCCAAAGTTGTACCGAATCTTGGGTTGTGGACTGCAGACAAACTTCTTTTGTGTCCTTGTCAGAATACTCTTATCAGAGAGCACAACGAACATACGGTTGGAGGTCATGTTGCTCTGAAGGATGAGGCCCTTTGTTGAGTGATAAATGCAGCATTTATTATCCTTCATCACCATTGTTAATCCTTTTTCTTGCAGCTGTCCAAGGCTAAGAAGATTATTCCTTAGTTCTGGAACATAGAAGACATCCTGAACAAGATAGCTATTGCCTCCAAAGTATAGCCTGACAGTACTTTTACCAACCACATTTAACTGCATATGATTCCCTAGCCGCACTGTTCTTTGAAATCCATCTTCCAACCGATTAAATAATGACGGGTCTCCACACATGTGATTACTGCATCCTGAATCTAGAAACCACACATCAGTTTTGCTTTGCCCAAACGATTCACGATAAGCCATGAGCAACATCTCCTCAATTTCTTCAATTTCAGTGTAATTTGCTTGCTTAGCCATATTTGGACACTCATATTGAAAGTGACCCAACTGATGGCACTTATAACATTCAATGGTTGTCTTGCTATAGGGTTGCCGGCCTCTGCCTCCTCTGCCCCTTCCTCCTCTGAAAGCTCTGCGGCTGCCTCGTCCTCTTCCACCATTGTTCTCACCGTATGCCACCGTGAGTGCTTGCTCTTCATCTACTTCCTTCTTGAATTTTTGCTCGTGCACAAGAAGGGAGCTTTGCAGCTCATCGACAGTAAGCTTGTCCATATCATTGGCTTCCTCAATGGAACACACAATATAGTTCCACTTTTCAGTGAGGGTTCTCAAAATCTTCTCGACGACCTTGACATCAGTCATATCTTCACCGTAATTCCTCATATCGTTTGCAATCATCATTACCCTACCGAAGTAATCATTGATTGATTCTCCTTGCTTCATGGCAAGGATCTCAAACTCTCTGCGCAATCGATTGAGTTGGGATCGCTGAACTCGAACATTGCCCTAGTATTTCATCTTCATTGAATCCCAGATTTGTTTCGATGTTTCCTTCTTTGGGATTTTCTTCAGAATTGACTTGTCAAGAGATTGAAACAAGTAATTCTTGCCTTTCAGGTCCTTCAACTGCATCTCTTCCGCCGTCTTTCTCTGTGCAGCCGTCGGCACTTCTTCAACAGCAGGTTGAAAAAGGCCTGTGGTCACAACAATCCAATACTCTTTCGAACGGAGAAGGTCGTGCTCCAGTGATCATAATCACCATCAAATTTAGGAATTGATGGTAGATTAAAACGATCGCCGCCTTCGGATGCCATCTGCTATTTCCCTCTTGATTTCTTGTGAAATTTTCTGCTCTTGATACCAGATGTTAGAATCAAATGCTGGAAAACTTACTTAATTGAATAAGAAAAGGCCAATAAATAGGCTTACATAATATCACACGATCTCTTTAACTGCCCATTATATGTGGAGCAGTTTATTCCTTCCTAAAATCTAAGTACTGACTTTGACTTTTGACTGAAACAATAAAATAGCTAAAAATAACCTGACACATTCTAATGTGCTGCAATACTTAATTTAATTAAAAATAAATATCAAAATATTAATCTTAACAAAAATTACACTTAATATACAGAAAGATGTACATAGTAAATTTCTTTCTTACTTTCTAAAAATTTACAGGTCAGAAAATTCAATAGTGGAAAACTTTTCGACCTTATTAGGGAAAACAAGATCTTAAAACCGGTAAGCTTCATATTCCCTCCATTTGCACATACTGGGGTTTCCTTAATCCAGTGAAAAAGTTCCATCACAATACCTGAAAAACATTCAAACAAACAAACAAAAATTACAACTTGCGTTTTCTAAATTTTGTTGTCCAATTCTGTTATTGAAGTGAAAAAAGTGAGAGGAGGTTCGCAGACCCAAAAGCTCAAAGAAACAAGATTCAGTAGAAAATTGTTGCAATAACAAACAATTCGAACCACAAACAACTCAAATTGCAGATAGTGTCAAACAGGTAAATTGGTTATTAAGTTGAAAACTGGAAAATTATAACAATTTCTACTTTTATGTGTGTTGGTCTCGTTGTAAGTAGGAATGTAAGACAACAATTAATGATAGGAAATCAATAGAGTACCTGTTACTAAACTTCTCAACAGCATCTGACGCATATAGAAGGGTTTCATTGGCTTTCTCTAGAACCATGTAAAGCTCCTTCCCTCTTGTAACTCGAGAAATAACCCAGGCATTATTTTTTGCTCTTATGCAAACCTCTAGATCTTTCTCACAATTATTGTCATCTAGTTTTGCTCGACTCTTCTCCAACTCAACCTCCTGCCTAAGCTTATTCATAGCAAGTAAGGACTCCTGTACCAGGTTTAACAATCAAAGTTTAAACTGTTTTCAACTTTCAAGTTAGTTGCTTTGCAGAAAATGAGAGCACTAGTGGCGAGATAATTTTACAGTGCCAACCACCAAGCAGTTCTGTTAGAATTTTGATCCCTAGAGTTTGAGTAAAGTTGAACTTTGAATAACAAATCTTTCAATTTATAACATGTCAAAATACAACACCTACCTTAGTTAAAGTTGTAACTTTTGTTGTTGGAGAAGCTCTGGATACATTTCTATCACCATCCACTAATAAATAGCGGTACCCACCGACATGATATGCGTTCTCACCACCCCATCCTTTGGATAGTTTCTCTTCAATTTTCAATATCTTAAGTGATGCCTGATGTATTTATTCAGCAGAGAAAGTAGATGTTCAGAGAAAAAGATACATTCAATATCACCAAATGGTTAAAAAGACAGCCATTTACCAGTTGTCCACAGCTTCAACATGACACATACTTTGTTAGAGGATGATAATGCAAGAGGGGACAAAGTTCCATCAGTATTTATTATAAACAAGGTTCTCGAAAACCCTTTTCAAAAAACAAGGTACTCATAAACACGCTTCCTTATATACTTTCAGATATCACAATCATGCTCAAAAAGCAACACTCAGCAAAGCAGGAAAAAGCAAAATAATATGCACTGCTTACACTGACAAAAAAATTACTATTGTAATTCAAACAAGTCATAATAAAACTAAAATGAAATCAATAAAATAACACGAGACAAACAAACTGTTAACAAAAACATCCAAAGAAAATAGTAAGGTTGTTCTCTGCTTCGATGGTATGCGGTAAAAGAAAAGGAAATGAAATGAGATAGTAAAGTTATTTGCTCTCCTGTATTTGCAAACTCTTTTCTGTGAAAGGGAACAGAACAGAAGGGAAATTAACTAATCCCTGAAGGATATGTTAAAGCATTAGACCACACAATATATAGAGATCCTATTCGCTCAATGTATCATGCAAGGAGTTTGTTGAGATCCCAAATCGGCTAGAGATGTGGTCAAATTAGTCCTTATAAGGTTCGGGTAATTTCATTGAATGAGTTAGCTTTTTTTAGGGCTAAAGTTTGTCTAGCCCAAATACTACGACAGTGTTAGAGTCTATCTTAGATGTATTGTCGAACCACCCGTATTTGTCCATGCTCAAGATGTCAAATCATAGGTCTGAGGGGTGTTGTTATTGAGCCACTCACAATTGTTTATGCTCTAGATGTCCAGTCCTAGGCATGAGGGATGTGTTAGAGATTCCATATTGACTAAATTAGTACTCACAAGGCTTGAGAAATTCTCACACCACGAGCTACCTTTTGAGTTTGACTTAGGCCTAACCCAATGGGAGATACCAGACAAATTTTAACACAATGGACGACACCCGATGTTTTGTTTCACTTTGAGCCAGTTCATATTATGTGTATAAAGTTACAAAAAAATTTTAAGAAAAATATTCACTATAATAGAAACTAACATTTTCAAGAACTTGTTGCTTCACTGCCGACACACCTTGCTCCCCATTAGGTATAGAGGATATGGGAATAAGAAGCATCAAAGTAAGGCTTCTGTGCTGATAAGCACAAAGATACATTCTCTCTCCGGTCTGCTGAAGTAAAACGGTTGGAGTAGCAAACACCCAAGTACCAACCTCTGCACCCCATAAATCAGTGACAAGATAACCATCTTTTCCCTTAGACCATTTGTCACTCTGCAAGGGTCTTACAACATGATAGTTGTTATCCTCCCCATGTGATGTATCAGATGATCCATAAAAACTTTCAGACATAGAGCTTGGATGGGTCACATTAGTCTCGGTGACAACATTAGATGTAACATTTCCTTTCCGTAAGTAGGACCATGAACTTGCTCCAGAAGATAAAGCACGTGGAGTCAACCTTAGCACAGCATATGTGAATAAGTTTATGGTGTCATCCTGACAAGAGTTAAAAGTCAAGGTTATAAGTGATTTAATGAATGAGCAAACAACCTTACCAAGATAAAAAAATAAATTGAACTTGAGTTAAACCATACAGGAGATAGTGTTGTAGACACCAAGAGGTCTTGAAATAAAATCAAAGAGTAGCAGGGAGTGTTTATAGCAGAAGATTCGAAAGCCCTGACAAGCGACTGCCAAAACAAGAAGTCAATAAAATGGAATTTCAGCAACAAGTAAAAATTATCCAAAATGCGGGATGAGAAATAATATATATCTTTAGATAAGAACAATGGAAAAGTTTAAACACTTAATAATACGTGTAACAAATGTAAACCAAAAACCACATTTCATCATTATCAACTAGTTATCAGTGAGTAATTACAGCTTTCCCAGTGACAGCTAATTATCAAACTTGTATAGTAGAGTGACTCACTAGACTACTTCCCGTTGATAAATTGAAATTAATATATTTGCATTACAAAGTGAACTCGTGAATGTTTGAAATTGATATTAGATAACTACAGAACTTTCTGTTCTTTGCAACCACTCATTAAGTTAAGTGAACTTAGAAAAACATCAAAGCACCAACTGACTCCATAAAGAGCATTTTGTCTTCTGAAGATAACTTAAATACACAAACATTATCTTCAATATACTGAAACTAAAATCCCTTAGTAAAATAAATGTGAACAGTACTCCTTAACTATAACCAGGAAAATAAGATGAGAAAGAGTAGGGCAGAAAGATAGAGATACAAAATATGATATTACCATCACCAGCACACACAATACAAAACGTTCTAAGTTCTATTCCCTGATTTTATATGAATTTTGTAGTTTTTCTGGTCACAGCTCAAAACTTATCTAACCTGAACTTCAATTGCAGCTTCGCGAGTTATTGTCAGCATCTGCACAGTTCCGCGTTCCTTTAAGCAATCACGGAATGAAGGTAGGAGAAACTTTTTGCCAACAAGAAAATCTGCCCCAAAGAGAAAACTCATAAGAAAGGGATGAGACAACTCCTTCAGCATGAGTCAGATAGCACATATCCAAAGGAAACCATTCGATACAGCAACTTAACCATTACCACAGCAGCAATCCTCCCACGGAGACCGCTTTATACACGCTGACAATTATGGCTTACAATGAAATATTTTGAATCATAACTCTAGTGAAAAAATATCATGATATAATAATTTCACAAACATGTTGCTTACCGCGTAAATAATCCATGATAAAAGAATACAAATGCCGTCTGACAAGTCCTCCACCAGGTTCTTTCTCCAGCATAGCTCTTACAGATCCATGAAACATTACAAAAAGGGAGTGAATTTCCTTAAGAACCTTTCTCAATGCATCATCTCTCCATATAGGCTCTGAATCATTGCTTTTCGCCACCACCTACAAGGCAGTCAACGACTTCATATATATATCACATAAAATTGCACAAATGTGAAGCAATGTCGTGACAAAATCTATACTCAACAATTCAAGTCTAAAAAAAAAGAATTCTTTCTACCAAAAAAAAAAAAAAAGAATTCAACCAGGGTATAAGCTTGTGAGTTTAATAATGATGCATTGTTGACATAAAATAGTTTTACACTAACATACTTCAAGAATTCATGATTTTGTCATGTAAGGGTATGTATAGTTTCCATTTAGGAAGAGCCAGAAGCAATTCTAAAGGGTAGAATTGATTTTGAGGTGTTTGATTCTAAAGTAGATTGATTATGTGTCTTGAATTGATTCTAGAGTAGATTGATTATGTGTCTCAAATTGATTCTAAAGTAGATTGATTATGTGTCTCGAATTGATTCTAAAGTAGATTGATTATATGTTTCGAATTGATTCTACTTGAAGTTATGATTTATAGCTTGAGTTTAAACACGATTTTTGCACTGAAATTTCATGTTCACTTTTGCATGAATGTATTCAAACATAAATCATTTTATCTTCAACTCCCTTTTAAACATAATCAATTTTACAGAATAAATTTCCTCAAAATCAATTTTCATAGCCACAAAAAAAAGCTGCAAAATGTTAAATTCTCATTGGATGTCTAGTTAGCAATGAAATGTGTGAGAAATTTATGAAACATTGATCAACAAAATACATAATGCAAGCAATAAATGAGGTTAATAAAGAGGAAGAATAAAAGAAGTAACAAACCATAACCATCCAAATATCCGGTTCAGGTTCATGAAAGACATGAGAATGCCTTTCAGCTTCAATGGAGTCACAAGCAGCTTCAGGAGAGAAAATTCTGCAATTGAAGCATAAAAAACAAAGGAATAAGCAAATATAGAATCGATTAAACTGAATTGAACGGTGGAATTGTGAAATGCGAAACCTAGTGAAAGTGATGAGTCCTTCACTGAGACCGATAACGGAGAGTTGTTTGGAGAAAGGTAAACCGGAAGGGAAGAAGAACAAGATCTTGTCGAGTTCTTGACCTTCGTTTTGGCCTCTTCGCAAATCGAAGATGCATAGTTGAATCGATTCGTTTGAAGTTGAAGATAAACCCATTCCCCGTTTCGATTTCGATTTTGATTTCAATAAACCTCTATTTGATCTAATTGTTCACTGTGTCTATGTGTTTTGATGTTTTCAACTTCCCTTCTTCACGCACGCACCCAACCCACTTTCCTCCTTTTATTTTATTTTTTTCTTTCGAAAAACTATAAATTATTTTCTCCCTTTTCTGTATTCCATTTTCCGCATTTTATCTTTAAGCACTTTAGACCATCTCCAACGGTGGTTCTTCAAATTGGTTTGCCAACTTGGCATTGAAATTGTCAACAAAAAGTTGTTCCAGCTGGTGAACGTTTCTTGCATAAGCAACGGTTCTTCATTTTTTTTATTATTAAAATAATTATTTAACTTGTTGGTTTTATTTTTTTTTTTAACTTTTTTTTATTTATTATAAATATAAGTTTGTTGCAAAAATTTATAACAATCCTATTTTCTCTCACTTTTATTTACTCTTAAATTTTAAATTTCTCTCTCACAATTTCATCATTTTATTCATAAATTATTATTTTCAATTTTATGTTTAATTTTAATTTTATGTTTAGTTTATATTTATAGTAATTAAAATTTAAATATTTAAATTATAATTTTAAATAAAATAAATTTAATATAAATAATATATTTAAGTAAAGTAGTGGGACCCAATATGGGTTCTTTGAAGTTGCACCATTGGAGTGAAAATTGAATAAGTTATTTTAGAAGAGTGGGTCCCACAAAAAACCTAAAAATGGGTTGCACCATTGGAGGTGCTCTTAGAGGATCTCCAATGGTGCAATCCATTTTTAGATTTTTTGTGGGATCCATTCTTTTAAAGCAATTCATTTAATTTTCACTCTAATGATACAACTTTAAAGAATCTATATTGGGTCCCACCACTTTACTTAAAAAATATTATTTATATTAAATTTATTTTATTTAAAATTATAATTTAAATATTTAAATTTTAATTAAAATGATAATTAAAATAATAAATAAAATTTTATATCAAATTATAGTTTTTATATTATAAAATTAATATTTTAATATAAGAACCATTGAAGAACCGTTGCATATTTAAGAACTTTTTCATCTTGAAAACAACACATATGAGTGTCATGTTGGCAAACCCACTCTAAGAACTCCCGTTGGAGTTGGTCTTAGAGCACTCGTAATTTGTTTAATTATGTGCAAAATTTATTTATAATGTAAATTCATAATTATTAAAGAGAATTTCTTAATCCATCTTTACTTTTATATATTTTGCAAAATTTCTTATATGTCCTCTGTTTTCAGAGATATATATTTGAACGCATCTTTTTTTTATTTTATTTTTTTACGTTGAATGTTTCTGGAGATTCATTTATGGAAAAAGTTTCGGAGATGCAACTCGAAAATCTTATCAGAACAGTTTTAAAAAAAAAATCAAGTTTTATTGGTCGCAGATGAAAATTAACTATTGCGGATGAATATAAAATGACATATATCTGTCATACTTCGAAAAATACGATGAACGTGGAAAAAACATTCGAACAGAGTCGCCACCAAACTTTATTCATTCCAAGGAAGAAATAGGAAAACATCGATAAAACTTTTAAAGAGATAAGAACATGGTCATCGCAATCAAATTTTAGACTTGGGAGTCGATTACGCAAGAGGGAATGTATTAGCACCTTCTACGTCTGTTGTACTCAACGGGAACCTCTTGATTCGATTCGTGAAAAGAGTTAGTTATATTGTTTGTTATCTTCTAAGGATGCACTTCTAAAGGGGAAATGGGTGGTTTTTATTAAGGTGCTCGCCAAGGATTGGGGTCTTTGTGCCTACGTACTCCCTCGTGCAATGGAAAAGTCAGAGCATCATAGTTCGTGGTACTACGGGAAAAGATTTGAGGTAGAAAAAAAAAGGAGTTCGCTAGGATCTCGCAATCCTATGCCTACGTACCCTCATTGTGCAATGAGGAAGTCAGAGCAATCGTAGTTCGGAAGACTACGATTGTTGGTTTGTGTTTGAAGCGAACGAGTGTTTAGGTCGCATTCTAACTGCTAAATGTTGGCTTGTCGACTCCCTAGGGGAGGCTGAAACACTAGTCCATATGCGCAGAAGAAGAGACTAAATAATGTTCTTTGCAAAATTGTTTGAGTTGTATATCGCACGAGGGCGAGGAATTAGTGTATTGAGGAAGTTTCAATCGCACGGGGGCGAGAAAATATAATTTGATGTGTTGGATGTTTTGTGAGAGGTGACGACTACATGAAGCTTAAGAAAGATTCCTCGGGCCCAAGTAATCGGGAGAGAGAGTCGAAGACTCGACTCTCTCTTTTTCAACCTTAATTGTAAAAAAGCTTTGATATAATTAGATTAAATTAAACGGATGACGATTACTCGAAGCTTAAGAAAGGCTCATCGGTCCCAAGTAATCAGGAGAGTGAGTCAAAGGCTCGACTCTCTCTTTTTCATCTAAGTATTTGAGAAAATAAATTTGCTTCGGTTTGTTGTGAAATAGTTTGAGGTAAATCGAATTAGAAATGTTTTAGAGACGACAATTGTTCGAGCGTAAGAAAGACTCCTCGGGCCCAAACAATTGACGAGAGAAATCGAAGGCTCCATTCCAACTCCTTTTTCATCCTTTATTGAAATTGTATTTAAGCATGGTTAAGTATATTAGGTTGACTTTGATAAAATACTCGATGTCGATCGAGATTTGAATTTGCGTACAAAACGATTAAGGTTGAGCTAAATGGTAAGGAGGTCCTAATGGGTATTTGGTAAGGTTGATGGCGAGGCAAAAGTGTTTGACTTACAAACTGGGTATGGTTTGTAACTTAGGGTTTAAATATATTTATCATGCAAAGACAGAATAGGCAAGTGAAAGTAAAGGAAAACACTCAAGTTGAATTTTAATCGTGTGCACTAGTAAAGTGGGTTAGTCTTCTAAACGATCAACTAGAAGTAATTGATCGAATATGTCTCACTGTAAAAAAGTCCAGGAGTAAGCTTTGAATATTGTGTATGGTGACCAAAAGGTTGATGGCGATGCTTGAAAAGCAATCGACTTACAAAGATGAAAAATGGCTCGATGTTTGATCAAAAATTTATTTTTGAAAAGGGTTTAGAGCATTAAAGCATAACCAAGACAAAAGCGATAAAATTATTACATTTTGTGAGAACGGGGTACATTTTGTCGAATGGGGATGAAATAACACAAAAGCAAGTGTGTACGAACAAAAGCGAATTAAGCCTTAGAATTCTTCGATCTTAGCCCGATTGTATTTATCAAAGTCAAATGGTCAAAGATTATTAAATCACTTAATTAGATTAATCCAAATTAATTATCAAAATTATTCGATTAAGTTAAATAGTTAAGTTAATTAAAACTATTTAATAAAGTTAAATAATTAGAACTTGGTTAATCGATTAATTAGGCTAATTAAAATTAATTATCAAAATTATTTGATTAAATTAAATAATTAAATTAATTAAAATTGATTAACAAAACTAAATAATTAATATCAAATTCAAAATTATTTAATTAGTGAGAGCCGAGAGCTGAACACAAAAGAGAGCACATAAGAACAAATTGAGTCGAATTTGTCACAATATGCTCCAAAAGTCGGTTTGTGTGTAATGACAACATGAGGAATGTCATACACATATATCATAACTCGGCGAAAACATTCGGTTAATGTGTAAGAAAATTTTGTTGCATAACGACATGAAATATCTAATCCACATACTAAAAAACTAATTTATACATTATAGTGGAATCAATCAAACAAGAACAAACTTAATACTATATTAATTACACAACATTTTCATCATTATAACGCATAAGCCTAACCATGTTAACATAAACAAGTATTTAGAATTAATATCTAGCAATGCCACCAAAAGTTATAATGCTAAAATAACACTTTACTAAATAAAACTATATAAAAAAAAGTAAGCAAAACATACACATGAGAAATAACCGCTAGTATTAGAAATAAAAAAAGTTTTCAACCTTAACATAGCCAAAACACGGGCGCAGGTGGGAAGCAAACTTGTGATTGCAAGCTGGTGGACGATGGGCCTCCTGCTGGCCCATTCGATCCTAGAATGGTCACCAAGGAAGGGGTTGTATGGAAAGCAAGGTTTTGAGTCAACTCGGGTTAGGCCCAAACCAAAACTCTCTTTTTGCACAAAATCACAACCTTGGGGAAACAACACAACGCCCCTAATAGATCTTCATCCTCTTAATTTTGTTAACCCTCTCTCTCTCACAAATGTTCTTCATCTCTCAAACTCATGTGAAAACAACAGTACTCACGAACCATCAACAAAAGTCCAAACACCAACAAAAATCTTGGAATGGTAATAGGAGACATGGAAACCCTATATCAAAATGGCTTCTGTTTGGTTAAATTGCAGGGAATCAAACACAAAATTCATGTGTAAAAAGTTCATATATAGTGTAATAACGAAAAAAATGGAAGAAACAAGAAAACAAAGCGCAAAAATATACCAAGAAGAAAACCAGATTCTGGTGAACTCGATGAGCTTTCTAGTGGATCCAACAACTTTTCAACGATTTCGAAACTCTTCGATTGACGCGATTTCGATGCGTTTCCCATTGGTTTTGTTTCTCTTCCATTATTTCTTCCTTATTTACTATGAATTTGCATATGTTTGTTATTGTTTGTGAGGTTCGAACAATGAAATAGAGAGTGAATGATGGATCTAGAGGGTCTCAAACAAGTTCAACCATGGCAGTAATAGTGAAATTTATGGTAATGGAGATATTGAGGTTTGAATTTGTGATTTCAACAGGATGAATAATGAGGCTTGTGTATGCTCTGAGCTTGTTTATTTGTTCTAGTTTTGCTCTCTTATTATACTTTCTGATTCTCATTCTTGTTTTAATATTGTGACTGTTGGTTGGGTGTTACAGGTCTGCGTTATGTTGATGATGTGGTTTGCAGTGGTTTATGGAAGGAGAAGATTGAAGAAGCAAGATATGAAGGTAATTTTAATGGAATTCG